CCTCCTGCACACCACAAAACAGCTGATCAGGAGGAAGGGGGAGGCGCTGATTGGCGGGGCTGCTGGTGGGGTGGGAGGCGCTGGGGGTGGGGAGCTGATTTGGGCAGGCTGGTGACATTACTGTGGCTCTTTGGCAATGTACAGTGGTAAATTCTGGCTCCTTCTCAGGCTCAGGTTGGCCACCCCTGCTTTAGGGAATTGGAAAAGAAGAGAAATCACAAAAACTTTGTTGATATGCATTGTTTTATAGTTAAATGCACATTGTCTAAATTCTCTGCATTATAGAGTATTATGGAAATTGAGGGAGATTAGTTTTGTCAGCTGTGAAACAAACTTTATTTTGTCCTTTACAGCATGGATGATGCAGCAGCCCTAATAGTAGAATATCAGAAACGATGTGGAAATCCCATTCTGGCAGATAGATCATCTTGTGATATTTTGAAGGTAAAAGGCTTTAGTTATCCGACTTATCTTGGTTTAAAGAGAAAATACTGAAACCTAAGACATTCATTCAGACTAAAGAACAAGATGCTCTTAGACCAGTTAAAGACTCTCTCCTATATTAGTTATTTTTCTATTTTAGTATCATTTCATGGTAGAATTCTAAGTTTCAAATATGCAAATAAAATCTATGCAATATATCTTATATAAAAAGGGAACTTTATGCCTATTTCAATGCTCCTATCCCATTTTCCTATAAACTTATCCTTTTGTAATACTTCTATTCCTATAAAAAGTTACTAAGCTCTTGTGTGTTCCTCTTTTCTTCCCCTCCAGATGTTTCTGAGTGGACCAGAGTAGACTTCTGCATTTTCTTATTGGAAACAGCTATCCCGAGGAGCATGTAACTTGATCTATATCCCTTCTCTTCCAGGGGCAAGATTGTTTCAAACTGTATTGGTCACATGCATTGTGTTTAAAGGGGAACTAAGCTGAAACCTCCTAAGTACCCTTGCAACAAATGTTACCATTCAAATTTTTTTTTATTGCTCCTGGCTAACGGACATTCACATTAGTTTAAGTGTGCTGTCCTATGTGAAAGAGTTAAAGGCTTCCCTTACATTGTATGACCTCTTTCTTCTCTTCCACTTCCCCCTCCCAGACAACTTGGTTTAATCTCAGCACTTCAATACTGAAATAATTAAGTGAGAATTTTAAACGTCACTTCCTTTCAAGAGTTGTATGAAGTCATTGCTGTGGCTTTCTAATTTCTCCTCAATGTCAGGCTTTTTTGCTTTGTTTTTAAACAACCTTTCCTAGTCTCAAATCCTATTAAGATAAAATTCACTTTGTAAGCTGTGTGATAAGGATTTCTAAACAAGATTGTAAATGTTAGTGTATCTTATGTAAAATATTTTGTAGACTTGGTTTTCATTCAAGGATGGGCACAAATAAAACAGACAAGCTCAAATTTTGAACTTAATATTTTCTAAGTTAATGTTTGTAATGTAAACTAACTAAAACATTCTCCCCAAACTTTCTATACATGCTACTTGAATAGGGTAAGTTGATACTGATTTCAGTGAAATTAAGATGTTAGATAACTTCTCTAAAACCAACTGTGTGTATAAACAAACAATTTAACTGCCATTGTTTTATTGTGACACTATTTGTTCTTTGAGACAAAAGTATATGGATGAATTCCTCCAAAGACAACTGAGTACCTTCCTAAAACTGAGTGGAAACATGCCAGTAAACTGAGCACACTTAAAATAGATACAACCAACGTGGGCCCTTGTATCTTTAAGACCCATGTATATATTCTAGTAATATCATACTAACAAAAGTAATAACCAGATGGCCGTTTAATTAATCTACCAATAGTTCTGTTTTTCCAGCTGTCAGCTAATGCAGACTGAATAACACAGTAAAACAGATAAGGGACTAAGTTGAATAAGTGTTATACCAGCTGAGTAAGGAGAAAGAAATTAGAAAAAGCTTTGTGCTTGTGTCATACTAAGTTGTCTAACAAATTGAGTTATAAGAAGATACACCTCCAATCCTACAATAAATACTCTCAGCATTTGAAAGGAGAATCACACTCTTTCGTGGAAAAGCAGTTTCTTGTAAAAACAGTGAGCTATTCTAGTGTAGCAAGCCACTCTCAGAATGCAGAGAAAAAGATGCTTGCTGTTCTTTATGAAACAAACATCAATAATACTCTGCAAGAAATGCTGCTATGGCTCCCTTTCTTAGTGGGATAATTCGTACAAAATGGCAGGCATGAGCAACAGAAGCTACCCTACTATGTGGAGCTTGGGTTGAGTAGTTTCAGCTGAGAATAGGAAATCCACAAGTCCTAGTATTTCAAAACCAATTTTTGGGGTCTAAATAAATGAACTATGGTCTTTAACTTTCTAAAGATGAGCAAGTCAAGTGAAACTAAACTATCTAAACTCTTGTATACAGACAGGACCACTTCTATATAACCTCAGTTTAACATTTTATCTTGATTTATTTTTTCCTTTAAATCTGGAGTAAGTAAGGCAAACCTAATCAGATGGTCATTGGTTAAACTGGAACAAGTAATTGAAGACTGTTTGTGTATGCTCCAAAACTGGTCATGCAGTGCTTTAGAACTAGTTTGATTTCATAGAGAAGTTGTACTTTAAGTAACAGAACCTTAACATTAGTTTTATCCTGGTAATTTCAGGAACAGTATTAAATCATTTTACTCTTGCTCTTGGTTCAGACACTAATCTGAGTGAGAAATATTAAATATGGTTTAAAACAAACATGTTATGGCTCACTTCTTAAGGTTTGTTCACACACGCTTCATTTTAGCTATTCCAGAATAATTTTGTGCGGCCACTTATTCTAGAATAAAAGTACCAGTTCCAAAGTGGATTAAACTAATTACAAACAATAAACTCATTCCACCACATAGGGCATATTTCAGAATAGCAACTGCACTCTAAATTCACACCCTACTTTAATTCAGTTTAAGTTTCACGTGTCAGACAAGTCTTTTGCTGTCAAGAGGCTTCAGCTAATTTTTTCCCAAAAATGGATAAATTACTTTAAATTGCATTAAATGTGCAGGTTCTGTAAATGCTATTACCAAAAGTAGAGTACTGTCACAAGCTTATGAATAATTCAGTATATTTCAAAACAATTTCAACTGTTACACGTAGCTTTGCCTTAATGGTTTATCATTCAAAATAAGTTTTATATAAATAAAACCTGACTGATTGAAAAACAAGTTTATTACAACGTTAAAGGTAGTTATTTAACAAGACTGATTGTACACCTAAGGCATTTTGCACCATAGCAGGATATTTTACAAGCTGAACCATACATAGAAAACAAGCAAGAGTGTGCCATTGTTTGGAAGCTATGTATTATAAACTAGTTACACTGCTATAGGCTACAAGCAGTTAGCAAGTGTTTAATACTGCAAACAATCAAATATTGCAGACAGTTTGTGGTTCTTGAATGCTCAATTACTTGACTAGAAGGAGAGGGAATGAGATGGTAAAGAGCACCAGAAGATTCATTTTAGGGTTTTTTGTACTCAATTCTTTCTACTTTCACATCATCTCCAATTAGTTGATACACATAGGTAACTACTGTGGAAGCTTGGATATCCATCAGCACAAATGAAGGAATGATGTTGCTGGAAAGAAAAACTGATTGTTAATATCAGGTAATTATAAAACTCCAACATTAAGGAATCTAGCTTTGAGAAATACCTAATGAGTTGCTCCAAAGAATTTGAATTTTATAAGCATGATCTAACAAAAAGTTGGAAAACAAGACTAGATATTTCAACAAACTCATCTTAAGCAAATGCATTTAGAAGGTATTGTAGGAAAATCTTTGACACCAACAGCACAATGTGTTTTGGTTATCTAGCAAATAACCCTAAAAATTAACTCATGCACAGCAGCTGTTTCCTCTGATAATCCCCCAGCAGTGATGTTAACTATCTAGTCAACCTGACAAAGATTAGGAAGGCTTTAGTTATTACTTCCTAGTCTGTGTGCACAGGAAAGAGGCAGCAACAATAAAAACACACACATGCTGAGCAGCTGTTTTCAACCTTTTCTTTTCTAGACCCAAACCTTTGAGAAGTGATACAGAAATGCAATACTGAAGTTTCCAAAAAAAAAAAAAAAAACCCCAAAAACCAAATTCATGTTAGTGTGAATAAGGCCTGTTAGTATGTATACGGCTTGAAATAAACATGCATTATGATAACTGGTGTATTAGAACAGTTATTACTGTAAAATTAGTGCTAATGAACAATGATGGGTATGATATAAAAACCTAGGTAAATAGACAACTGTCCAACTTATTTTAACTCACTTCTCCAAGGCACTATAAGCTCCTGTGGCTGACCCGGGGTTGATGTAGAACTTGTTTTCATGCTCAAATGCCTCAAATTTGTGTGTATGCCCTGAAATTAAAATGTCCACATCAAACTGCCTTTGTAGCAGTGCCAGGCTGGCCATATCTCCCCATGGTATAACTTGATGGCCATGGATCAGCCCAATTTTGAACTGCCCAACGGTTACAACTTTCTGTTCTGGATAATTCAGGTTCTAAAAATTAAAAACAAATATACAACATACAGATTACATATACTGAAACAGACTCCATCTTCAAAGGAAATTAAGTTATTTGCTATGTATTCATATCACACAAAAACCTGCTACTCCTGAGAATGAGCTAGAGACCCTCTTCAACTTAAGTTTTTCTTCACTGAAGAATGCAGAAACTTCTAGCAGGAATACCACACCCAGCCAGAAATCAACTGCATCAAAGCCAACTATGTTGCCTTAAAGGTGGCTTATAGAAATATTGAAATAATAAATTTATTATTTACAGTTTCAAAATTAATTTAGAATTACAAAACTGCATCTGACCTAGGAACTTCAACATCTTGACAACAGCGGCTATTTGATGGCAAATAGGTTCAACTATTTTATTACAATGCTTAATCAAATGTAATTAAATAAACCAAACTACATGAATTCAAGAGTCAGCTTTGTCCTTCTTGGGCATGGGTTAAGAACTAGGCTTAAGTCATTTTTACTGGTTATGACTATAGAGTACTGCTTATTTGCTTTTTACCCTGTTCTTTATTAAGTAACTATAACTGTCTCAATTTTGTCCATTTCCTTAAATGGTGTAAAGGGAGTTATAAATAACTCAAGTGTCAGACTGTTTTTAAAAGTCTTTGTAGAGAGGTCATTACCTCATCAAAGTCTCCTCTTACAATGTGAACATCCCCAGCCAAAGTCTTGAGGTAGTCATAGCTCTCCTTGGTGCAGAGGTTTCCGGTGCAGAGGATGTGCTGGATCTTTCCTGGGACCAGCAGTTTTTTGAACTTAGCTGGGAGGTTGTTGCATCGATGTGGGATGTGAAGGTCTCCTAATACTAATACCAGCTTATCAGGTGTCAAGGACAGGAAAAAGAGATGAGAATTACAGAACCTAACTGTAGCCAATAAAAATCAAGAAGCAAGAAATTTGCAAGCTTGGTTATCTTCAGTTTCACAATTCTGCATTTCTGATGCAAAATTATTGAAAAAAGAACTGAAACTGAGCTTATGCTTGGGATGTGGGTCTCAAAGTGAATGATGTCTCACTCAGATAGAGTGGTACAGAGTGATGCCTTGTCTACACTACAAGGCTTTTGCCAATATAGGTATGGCATTAAAACCCTCTAGCAATAGATGCACTTAATATGAAAGTCCTTGTACTTGTATAATTTATGCTGGTTTTGGGAAATGGCATAACCAATACCAGTACAAGCACAGTTATACTGGTGTAACTGCATCTACAGTCCACCTTATGTTGGCTGTTCGTAAAAAAGACACATTCCTGTCAGACATGGCTTAAGTGGTAAAATTTAAGTTTAGACCAGACCTAGGTTATGGCTACTTCCCTTTCATTATTTCAAGTTTCCCTTTACTTCAGTATGTAATCATTTTGTTTTCCTAAAATGAGTTTGCAGTGTGTCTCAGTGTTTAAACTGAATACAAAGTTTGTCAAAAGCCAAAATAATAAAACATCTTAGCTTCCATTAGACTGTCTCATGTACATCTTTGTCAAAAAGTTGATTTTAATAGAGCATTGCAAGCTGAACATGGACCAGACCAGAATAGAACTATGAATACATAAAACTATTCAAGCAAACACTCTATGAAGCATGGTAAGTGCTGACAGAGTACAAGTGATGCAATCAACCAACAAGTAATATCTGTTAGTCTATATCTCAAAGCTAGGATGTCACCATTATTAAATAAATCACCTGTACTATCATCACACCTTTAATTTGTATAATTGATTACAAAGGTAGCCTACAATGTAATGTCACAGACTTTTTAAACTTGTTATTTAGGAAACAAAATTAATGCAAAGTATCAATAAGCCAAGCTTAATTTGATTATGCAACAACTGTGTGAAAAGGGTTGTAAAGAAAAAACTGTTACAGGCCACATGAACATCTGATAAACAGCAAGCATTCCTCTTATCCTGATAAATAAGTCAATATACTACTTGTTTTCTTCCAAGTGTAGTGGTGTTGATTTATGGTAATACCAAAAATGTAATAACATTGGGCTAGTCTACACTGGCAACGCTTTAATGTGGGTTGTGTAGCTGTGGCAGAGCGCTGGGAGAGAGCTCTCCTGGCCCTAAAAATAAAACCACCTCCTTGAGAGGCATAGCTACCAGTGGTGGGAGCGTAGGTCCCGGCGCTGATGCACTGTCTACACTGGCGCTTTACAGTACTGAAACTTGCTGGGTGAGTGTTTTTTCACACCCCTGAGCAAGAAAGTTGCAGCACTGTAAATTGCCAGTGTAGATAAGTCCATTGTAAACAAACATATAAGCTGCTCTCCAGACAAATATAAAAGTTAGATATCACTACTTGTAGCTACACTATGAATTAACCATAACCTTGTCTACATTATAAATTTTGTCCTTTGCATTTTATTCCAGCAACCATGCAGCAGCACTCAACAATGTTAACAGAAGTGCAGATAGGGCTTGGGCATTTTTACCAGTGTTGTGAAAGCCTGCTCAGTGTAAGGGTATGTCTACAATACCTGCCGGATCCGTGGGTAGTGATCGATCTCTCGGGAATCGATTTATCGCGTCTCACCTAGATGCGATAAATCGATCCCCGAACGCACTCCCCGCTGCGAGAGGCGGAAGCAGAGTCGACAGGGGAGCGGCGGCCATCAATCCTGTGCCGCGAGGACGCAAAGTAAGTCAATCTAAGTCGATCTAAGATGCGTCTACTTCAGCTACGCTGTTCTCGTAGCTGAAGTTGCAGCTCTTAGGCCTGGTCTACACTGGGGGGCGGGAATCGATCTAAGTATCCAAACTATGCAAGAGAGGGGAATATTATAACTCAAATAATTGGTAAAGTGATACAGAATCTTTAACCTGTGAGCCACCGGTTCAAGTCCAAGTCAGTAGTGATATAAAGCACTTACTACTTCTGGTAGTCTCAGAAATAAGAAGGCCTTCCACTAGTTCCCAGTGGACAGATGGCTTATTACTCCTAAAGATGGTCCCTCCAGCTCAAAAAGGAAGCACAGTGGCAAGACAGTGAAGTTTGCTGGGCTAGTGCCAGTGTTAGTGTTGTACCTGTTCACTGGATGGCCTTCATTCCTCAGGGCTGTTAGGCTTTTCACCAGCACTTTGTTTATATTAAAAATTGGATAGGGCAAGAGAGGGAGAAACTTAAATTCTGGCCTTCCTGTGCTACAAACTTTAAAAAAGTGAGCTAACATACTTGAGCTCCCATATTGTTAGAAAATTTTAAAATTTACATTTTAACAATGTTATACTCTCTACGTACTGATAGCATAACCATCTTAACTAAAACAGTTTTAAAACAATTTCCTAATATGGCCTATTTTGTAGCATAACTGATTTTGATGGCAACAAAACAATATGTGGGGTCTTTAATCAAGTCTTACAAGATTTACATGCAACACTAGCTAGTTACATATGTAACGCCTTCCCCCAAATTATGCTCTCAGTTAGAGACCCTCAACCTCGCTGAATCTAATATGTGCTGATGAATTGAGAGAAACCATTTTAGCCCCTAATTCAGATTCAAGTTTCCATCTATCAAGATAACTTGCTAGACTACAACAAGCAGCATTTTCTGCTGTACTAACTGTATCACATTTATCTCTGATAGACACAACAATCATGACAAAAAGCACATAAGAATTTGGCTTTCAACAGAAATTTAGTTGCGGTCTTGACTATGGATTGGCTAGCAGCTATTCCATAATTCATACCTATTTTAACATTTAGTAACATTGACAAATCATCTACCACCAGTGTTAGCAAGAGCCAAGAGGCGTAAACTTACTCTGTGCCCAGCCTTATTGGAATGAAGAAGTTGATTGCAGACAGGGGCAATGAAAAAACAGGGTGAAACATGAACAATGTTAAAAGAAAGCAACAGAAAAGAAAAAAATAGACATATGAATAGCCAAATGATTTTTTTTAATGTTATGAAAGGAAGTGTTAAAAAATCAGCTTTCCTGAAACTGTCTGAAACAATAGTGGAAGACTTTTTCAAGCTGCCACTTCACAAAATATTCATACCACTGGTTGTAACTTTCCAGTGAACCAGTTATTCTTTTGAGTATTTTTCTTCTACCCCAATCTTTTTGAATTTCACATTAGACTGACTTAGTAAATAGTGACTGATCAGAATTTCCCCCCCCAAAACAAGAATCTCTATTGATGTCAATTTCATGGATTTCTATTCTTCCAAGAAATTGGTCACATATACTTCCAAAAAAGGTTATTCATATAAATGAATACTATTAAAGCAAACAATGTTGAAGATTACATGGTTAATACAAAACAGCATTCAAAAGAAATACAGAGGAACCTTGCTAATTTGCCTAAATGCCTGGGGGCCCAATATGAATTTCTGAACTTGGCATTAAGATGCACGTGAACAAGAGATAAAAAGCCAGGGATTGTGTCATAAACAGTTGCTTAGTTTTAGTTATTCTGTTACTTCGCAGTAAGCGGGTTAGTCTAGATGTTGTGTCGAGTTCAGTGTAAAGAACAGCAAGGCCCCGATACAGAACTGTCCCTACAATTAAAGCTTTGGGACGAGGAGTCCGTTCTCGGTGAGCGTCACGAGACGGGAGGATTAGCACGGTTCTGCTGTATCGCCGAGGCTAATGTAGCTCCGATCCCAGGGGAGCAGAGACGCCTCTGGCCCAGGAGCGGGAGGGGGGCGGGACGGGGGCCCCGGGGCAATAACGCGCTGGGGGTGGGAAGGGGAGCAGGGCCCCGGAGCTGGGCCCTCTCCAGCGGGTCGGGAGCGCCCTCTCACGGCCCCTAGCCCCCGGGGTGGCTCACCATCCTGCTCCAGTCCACTCGTCACCTCCTTCCCTTCCGCTCCGCAAAGGGCCAAGGAGCAGCGGGCCGTCACGGATTCCGGAAGCCAAGGGCGGTTACAGTCTACGGCAGCGAGAAGGGATCATTCCAAGTCGGTACACACGAGGGCGCGTTCCTTAGCCGTCAGGCCTCGCGCTTCACCCGTCACTGTCAGACCGCGAGGGATGAGCCTCATCCGGGTTCCTG